GCGGCGCTGCCCGGGACCCCCAGTGTGTTTCCCACCAGGTGGGTGCAGAGTCTCCCCTCCGGGGCGCTGGGTCTGCCCGACCTTCCTGGGTGGGGGGTGGTGGCCTGAGCCGGCCCACGGGGCGGGGGGGACGCTCCAGCCTCTGCTGGCTGCCTGGGGCAGTGGAAGGGGGTGCAGGGCGATGGGGGCCACTCGGGCCCCTGGGCAGAGTAGCGTTATAATGGCGTGTTGTGTATTTTTCAATTTCCTAAAGGTAACTGTTCAGTCCTCACCTAATTTTACACAGCATGTGAGGGAGCAGAGCCTGGTGACGGATCAGCTCAGCCGCCGCCTCATCCGGACCTACCAGCTCTACAGTCGCACCAGCGGGAAGCACGTGCAGGTCTTGGCCAACAAGCGCATCAACGCCATGGCGGAGGACGGCGACCCCTTTGGTAAGGCGCCCTGTTGTGGCACCTCCTCCAAGTCAAGGTAGCCTGAGGAACAAGCCGGGCCTGCTGACCTGCGGTGAGGGGACCCGCGGCCCCTCCTGCCTGGGTCTCAGGCCTGCAGGCGGGCTCCCCAGCTCAGAAGGGAAGCAGCGAGGGCAGAAAGGTGTCTTAAGGGTCAGCTGGAGAGGAGAGGGCTGGAAAGGGACCGAGGGAGTACTTGGCCCACAGGTGCCCCCATCCCTGCCCAGCAGATCCGGGAATCCAGGCATCTTCCTTTCCACCTCCCCCTCCATGCACCCCTCCCCAGCTGCAGGTGGAGGCAGGGGGTTCAGAGGGAGGGGGCCCAGGTTTAAGGGAAGCTCTTGAAAGAGGATATGTGGCCAGGGCCCACAAAAGGAGAGTGGGAAAGAGAAGGCAGAGGAATCCCCTAACTCTCGGGGCTGGGAAAAGGGGGCTGCTGTGAGCCTTTCAATACTTTGATCAGAAAGGCTGATTACACATGGGGACAGGGCTCGGGAAGAAGCCCTCCCTGCTCAGCTTGCCGGGGGAACCCAGGCAGTGGGGCCGTCAGGCCGGGCTCCCGACTCCCCACGGGGTGGTGAGTACCGGAGCTACTGAGGGAGAGGCTGAGGGCTGATTGATTTCTAAAACATTCAATATTCCTGCCTTGAAACGAGGCCAATTTCTAGAGTCCTGGATGTACCAAGAGAAAAGCGAGCCCTCTGGGCGGCTGGTGTTGTTTTTAGAGAGCGATTATTGTGAGTTAAAAAACCTTTAAATAATGACCAAGTTAAACAAGCATGAAAGGAGAGGGGAAGACTCTATTAAAATGTAATAAAAAGGTGAGGCATTTTAAGAGCTAAGAAGAAAAATGAAGAATGATATAAAACAGAAAAAGAACCAGCCTTTTTTCAGATGTGGCGTTTGAAAGGAGTTGCAAGTCTGTAAATGTTAAAAAAGAGGTTCAAGATTGTTCTCTATGAATCTCTGGAGAGACCCCCGCGTCTGGCAGAGCGATTAAAACTCTTCTTACTTTCACCTTTTTTAACATTTCCTGAATACTTTCTCCTCTTCTCCAGCCAGTTTGGGGGATCGAGTATGTCTCGCTGCATTTTTTCTGCATCGACGTAGCTGACTTCCCTTCAAAGCTGGAGGAGGAGACATAATTTTCCTGGGATAAATCTGTCACTGGGGTGGAAGAATAGGTTTGAAAATGTTAAGCTTCCCAAAAGCCCGGGGGGGGAAAGCGGCTGTAAACTGTCCAGGAAGGAGAGTGGGGGCCCTCTGGCTTGGGGGGGGGGGGCAATGTAATAAAAAGGTGAGGCATTTTAAGAGCTAAGAAGAAAAATGAAGAATGATATAAAACAGAAAAAGAACCAGCCTTTTTTCAGATGTGGCGTTTGAAAGGAGTTGCAAGTCTGTAAATGTTAAAAAAGAGGTTCAAGATTGTTCTCTATGAATCTCTGGAGAGACCCCCGCGTCTGGCAGAGCGATTAAAACTCTTCTTACTTTCACCTTTTTTAACATTTCCTGAATACTTTCTCCTCTTCTCCAGCCAGTTTGGGGGATCGAGTATGTCTCGCTGCATTTTTTCTGCATCGACGTAGCTGACTTCCCTTCAAAGCTGGAGGAGGAGACATAATTTTCCTGGGATAAATCTGTCACTGGGGTGGAAGAATAGGTTTGAAAATGTTAAGCTTCCCAAAAGCCCGGGGGGGAAAGCGGCTGTAAACTGTCCAGGAAGGAGAGTGGGGGCCCTCTGGCTTGGGGGTGGGGGCCGCCTGCCCGGTGGCCGAGCCCCCTGCTGGGCTGGCAGAGCTGGCCTACGGTCCCTTTGTCCCTCCAAATTGGCTGCTTGCTGCCCCTCTCTGCTTCCCAGGAACTAGAAGGAACGAACGCCTGGCTCCTCCGGGGTGTGCTCCATTGGAGCAAATGGCCCAGCATCCTTGGATTTTGGGGAGGGAGGCAGAGGCCACGCTGGCTGCTGGGAATCCGTGTGCAGACATCAGGGGAGCAGTGCCCACTCCTCTCCTTAGGTGTGGACGAGGCTCCCCGGTTCCCCTGGTCTCGGCCGTGAGGGCAGGAGTAAGTGCCAGAGGCCGTAAGGACAGAGGCTGAGGGCGTGTAGCTAGGCCAGGCCCGGCCAGGGGAAGAACAGCAGAGAGGGCCTGATTGCTTTTCTTCTCAGTTTATCCATATATAAATAAATGGCAGAAAAAAAGAGGGAGGGAGAGAGAGGGAGAGTGAGCGAGCGAGCGAGCGAGAGAGAAAGCACCCTCCCACCACAGGGTCCTCGTGCCATGATCCACTTCTAGTCCCAGCAGCCCGGGTCCTGGGCACACGCTCGTGCTCCCGGCATGCACTCACGTGCCTGGCATGCAGGTGAACCAGACTCCACTGCAGGCCCAGTTGTGTTACCACTGAGCCTCTTCCTGCCCTTCCTCCCCCCTCAGTTGCTTCTTTAGGGGCCCAAGCAGGTGGCGTGGTGGTTAAGGTGCTGGACTCCCATATGGCTGATTGTGGTTCAAGTCCTGGACTTGGAGGCTCGCTTTCTCACTTTCCCTTTCTCTCTCTCTCTGTCTGTCTTTCTGGTAAGCACATGTGACCCATAGCAAATTAAACAATAATAATAGTAGTAGTAGTCAAAATAAAATGAATAATTATTAAAAATTAGGTTATTAAAAATTAAATAAAATTGTGGTCCCCACATGGGGGACCTCATTCCTGTAACTTGTATTATCCAACATGATAGCCACTAGCCACCAGTGGCTAAATAAATTTTTTTTTTATTAAAAAGAAAAAAATAACAGACCCTCCTCCATCCTTGTCTCCCTAGTTTGGCCGGTACCCTCAGGAAGGGGTCCTCTCACCCTTTGTCCAGCCAGCATCCTTCCTGGCCCTCACAAGCAGCAACATTTTGCTCTGGAAGGCAGAGCAGGGGAGAGATGAGCAGACTGCTGGGGTCCAAGAGGAGGTGGGTGGGAGGGGAGGTGACAGCTGCATTTCCCTGGCTGACTTGGGGCCAGAATGGGGACTTGGCCACTGGGCCCCAGGTCTGTGCCTTTATGAGGGAGGTGGGTAGTCAGCCTGGCAGTGCCTGGTCCTTGATGAGCTTGGTGCTCGGGGACACAGGAGGTACTGAGCGTCAATGTGTGCTGAGTACCAGGACTTCTTTCTCAAGGAAGGAAAAGGCCGGGTCCTGCTGTAGGGAGGGCAGGAGGCCCAGCCCCTTCTGTGTCATCCCAACAGCAAGTCACCCTCCCACTCTTCCAGGATGCCTGTAGGAGACAACTGCATGGAGAGGAGAAGGGGCAGGGCTTCTGTGACAGGTCGGCTGGATAAGGGGAGGGTGGGGCCAAAGAAGACAGCTTGGCCCAGGCCTCCTGGCCTGCCAGACTGAGAGGCAAGCACGCAGGGCTGCTCCTCCTCACCCACGGGGAGGATCTGGCCACTGGGGTGAGCCAAAAAGAGAGAGAAAAGATGATGGAGTTGCTGATTTCTGGACACTGGGCTGGGGACTGTGGTGACAGAGGAGCCTGGGGGAAGAGGCAGGCTCCTCCCACCTGTCTCTGAAACAGCCCAAGTATGTCAGGAGAGCTGTCCCCCATCCCTGTCACCTTCTCAGCAGATCAGGGCTGCTGTGGGGGTGGAGGGTGGGTAGCCCAACTTGCGAGTTAGAAATTCAAGTGGCGGCAGAAATGGGAGAGGATCTTCTTCCTTCGGGCCTGGTCTGAGGCCTCCCCACGCCCTCCTGGGTGTCAGTCATCTGTGAGACGTGTGTACAGCACGAGTCAGAAGGATCCTCGGAGACCTTCCTACTAACTTTGAGCTCTTGGCAGATTCAGTTTGTAAGCTTTGGCGTAAAAGTCATCACCATCTGGTTTGAAATGAGGGTGAGGTTGATGGTTAAGGTGTTGAATTTCCACATGGCCGACCGCAGTTTGAGTCCTGGACCTGGTGACTTACACATCGTGTCAAGCACGTGAAAATAAGTAAATAAAATGAGTGGAAGCCATGGAGCTCCAGCCTTTGCAGTTCCATGGCCCCAGGCCTCGTCTTCAGAGCCCAGTTTGTAAATCGTGATCCCATCCGCCCAGCTCCATAAAGCCAGGCGTGGGGCCCGAGGCTCACCAGAGCAAGTCGACCTCAGGATCGCACCCCGCAGGCCGCGTTTGGGGTGCCTGGCCCATGCGGCTGGCACATGACAAGCTTGTAGGCAGCTTGGGGAGAGGATGTGGAACAGCCAGTTCCAAGGGCCTCCTGATAACTGTGCCCCGCCTTTCCGCAACAGCAAAGCTCATTGTGGAGACAGATACTTTTGGGAGCCGGGTTCGAGTCCGAGGAGCCGAGACTGGCCTCTACATTTGCATGAACAAGAAGGGGAAGCTGATCGCCAAGGTGAGGCCTGGAAGGGTGGGGGCCCTGGGCCTGCGCTGGGCTAGCCCAGGTCCTCCAGGACAGCCTGTGCTGGGATCTCCACGGTGGGGGTGGGGGTGGACAGAGAGACAGGGAGCCACCTTGGGGTGGCCTAGTGATGAGTGCGCCGAGGGGGCGAGAGAGAAGGACACTGCTGGAGAGAGGAAAAGCCATAAAGGCAAAGGAGGCAGGAGGAAGGCTGGGGAAGGGGCTGGGGGGGTAAATTCCATATATCTTTTTAACAAATCGCCAAATTGCTTTGCTATTATGTCCAATTACATGGTACCAGCATTTGGAATGTTCAGTAAGCCGCAGGCCCGGCCCCTCCGCCGAGCTCTGAAATGGCCGCATTAGTCACGGCTCCTCTCCAGCCTCGAGCTCCCTGTTTCCTGGGCTTCTGGGGCTGCGGACTCTGGGTCTCCTGGCAGGCCTCCCCTCCCCCATAGGGTGGTTGCCCCAGCCCGGGAGCCCAGTCCTGAGGGGCCGAGGGGGCAGGTGGGGAACCGGGTGCTAGCAGCTCAGGCCAGACTGGTGGGCAGGAGGCCAGGGGCGGCAGGCTCTGGGCCCCTGTCTCTGCCCCTCTGGGCGGATCAGCCCCTGCGTAGACAGCCATGTGTCACTGCTGCCCGGGAGGACAGGAAGTTGCCGGGTGGGCTGCGAGTTGTGAGGGATTAGAGAGCGGGTGCCCACCTCGCCATCTGCTGGGTGCCCACCTGCTGTCTGCGGCCGCTCGCCCTCTGCCTCGGGTGGGGGGGCTCCGTAACGCCGCGTCTGGCCCCCCTACCTGCAGAGCAACGGCAAAGGCAAGGACTGCGTGTTCACGGAGATCGTGCTGGAGAACAACTACACGGCGCTTCAGAACGCCAAGTACGAGGGCTGGTACATGGCCTTCACCCGCAAGGGCCGGCCGCGCAAGGGCTCCAAGACGCGGCAGCACCAGCGCGAGGTCCACTTCATGAAGCGGCTGCCCCGCGGGCACCACACCCCCGCGCAGAGCC